AAAATAACTTTCCTGTCCCGCTTGATTTTTTCTCCTGCTGTCAAACACCCCCTCAACACTCTCTCAGTCTCACATTTTGCACTCTTTTCACTTTGTCCTGTGTGTTGTAAAATATTATGGTAATAATAATTAATAATACTTAAAATGTTTTAATTCATGATATCAGATATAATTATACTATGACGTGTTTATACAATTGCCATCATGCACTTATGGTCAAGTGCCTGTTATTCCTTTCATATTAATTCTTCATCTTTTGATATACATGCAGTTAAGGTAGATATCAAACAAAGTCACAAAATATTGTTCTCCTAACCTGCTCTTTTTGTCCTATAAAAGAACAACATAATCGGTATGATAATACAATAATATATTTATGAGCGCGAGCGCAGCAACCAGCTCCACCCGAGTTCTAATCAAGCTCCACCCTTGTTGTAAGGCTTCGACCACAAAAATTTCATCAATGTTAAGTAAGGAATGTGCTGCTGCAAAATGTGCTGCTAACTTCAACGGAGTGCTTTTCTACCTGCACCAGGAAGTCTCTTTTTTTTTCTAGGAGTGGATTGTAGCTTGTCTTTCTGCTTTCTCCAGTAACGGACAATGGCTTCATCAATAGAAAACTTTCTTGCAGCTGCTCTGTTACTTGTTTTCTTAGCCTCTTCAACTACATTTAGCTTAAAAGCCGCATCAAAACTTCTTTTTTAGAAGCCATTGCAAAGGTTATGATAAGAGAATGCTCATGTAAATACACGTGGGCAACACGTGTATTATTTCTACTGCGCATGCGCAACATGCCGTAATAATTCAAGGGCGAATATTATTTCATTCAGCCTTCTTAATGGTGCGGATATAATTCAAGGGCGGATAGAATTCGAGGGCGAAAAGATTTCAAGGAAATACGGTATCTAGCGTGCACCCATCCTTCATAGCATATATATGGTATCTATGTTCATAGTAATAAGATACAAGTTGTGTTGTTATTTACGATGTGGCAGTGGCTTAGAGAAGTAAGAGCTATCAACTTGATAGCCGCAGCTTTTCCTTGTCGTCGTAGACCTGTTCAAGAGACAGCTATAGGAGCAGTTCGAGCCGCAGCCATCATTGCTGGTGATAGAATCTGGTATAAGAATGACTCTGAAGACGATCATTGCTTTTTAGTGGAGCCTGTGCAAGACTAAGTGGGAACAAGTTACTTTTACAGAAAAGAAGAAATGGTTAGTGAAATTAATTGTACAGCACTCACTGACTGGGTATTGTATTCTTAGGTTGTGGCGAGTTATTGCAAGGTACCCAAAAACTGTGTTGTGTGACTCAATGCCACTTATACCATGTATTCTACTTGCACTTATTTGTATGAATTTTATTCTCCATATTGTATAAGTCTTTCTGTATTGGACTATTGTTTATTGTATAATTTGTTTGTCATTGATTTTGTTTACTGGTCAACAATGTATTATCTCTTCTCAAACACCAGTAACAATTAGACTCATATTTATTTATGAAACTGTGAAACTCAAGCAAGTTTCTTTTGAATCTTTGATACTTGATGATTATTACATCTAAAACAAAGTAAAACAGTTTCACAGACTTTTCAAGGCAACTGAAAATACATAAAACAAAAGTTACTTAAATTGTCTAATGTGATTTTATCAGCTGTAACTGTCATTCTAAATCAATCATGCATGCCAGTGTTATACCTAAATCATGCAGTCTTTTGCAATTTCTAGATCCTGTGCTGTGTATAAATGCTTCACTAGCTTAAGCTTGTCCCATACTATTTTATGTTTGTCTAGCATTTTTGATCTAAATAAACTTTAGATAATACTACATATTAGATATTCACAATCCCTGATTTATAATAGTAATAATATGACCCATCACCACCAAGACAGAGGCAAGACCACATTGTTGCTCTATAAGTCTTCTATTATGTGATACACTATACAACCTGCTGCATGCATTTAAAAAAATAATAGCAAAATAATAAAATCTGTCTGTATCATAAAAATCAAACAATGCTATTAGTACACAAAATGATATAAAGATTGCTTCATCTGTTATTTGTCAAATTTAGCTGACAGACTAGACTCAAGAACATCTGTATCTTTTATCAGTGAATCATTTTCACTGTAAAGAGAAGAGAGAAAGAACAGTACATGTACATGATTAGAGTATCAAGATTGAGAAAGAGAAAGGGAGGGAGGAGGTAGAGAAAGAAAGAGGGGAGGGGAGAGACAGAGAGAAGGGAGGAAGTCAGTGAGGAGGAAAAGAAAGAGAGGGTATATGATTAAAGACTCACTCATCTTCAGCCTCATCACTCGTATCATCTTTGTTCTCATTCTTTATACCAACAATGGCTATACAGTGTCCTCTTCTTGTGCCGTCCTTACCCTACAAGCATTAGACCATGGACAACAACACCTATCAGAGAATCAATCATTACTTTAAAAAACATAGCATCATCTTTCACATAAGCTGGATCATGAAGCATAAAGTAGAGCAAATTTTGGGCAACCAGAAGCAACATTCATCTCTGATTTTGGTTGCCAGAAAGATGATGAAGGTTCCGGTTTAAAGCACTGTACATTATATTTTCCAGAGCCAGACTGATCCAAGAGCATTAGAGTAACCATTTGTGAGAAGGGCCATGGTAATAGAGCATCATACTCACCACACATTATCGTCAAGAAGAGATGTGACTGTTCTTGCCTGATCCATCTCCATTTAGATATAGTCTTAAACAAAGTTTATATCCAAACCTGCTGGTGTAGAAAGGTGCACTGTACAGCAACATGGTATCGCCAGTTCTTGCATCATTTCTGCACCTATCAACTTCTGGTATCTTCCACACAAACCGACCAAAGTTAAGAAACTCTTGATGGCTTGCTTAAACATTACAAAGATGATTCTGGCTATCATCTTGGACTATCTGAGAAAACTCTTTCTGCTGGTGGCTCACAACTTGAAGACTCAAGGAAGCAGCTAGTAGAAGAAACAGAGAGAAGTGTCCTTGAATCAACCAGAGCAGAACTAACAGAACAAAAGAACGAGATGGAAAAAAGACTGGCACCATTTTATGACAAACACAGACTATTAAAATGTGAAATAAAACTGAGCGAACTACAGGACAGTTTTTCAGAGCTACGATCCCTTCTCTTTCAAACTCTTCAAGCTACCATATTTACATTGTAGTATAACTACAAGGCCTCACTGTAAGAGGGCAGTAACTAACAAGATGATCTTCTGACTATAGCAAAATAGAAAATAAATATTTAGGCTTTGATCCTCCTTTCATTTCTCTCTCCTCTCTCACTTTCATTCCCTTTCCCTCCCTCACCTCTTTTCTAAGGAGCTTCTGCCCACAGCAGGATGAACATAAAATAGAATATTCTGGACAGTAAGTTTGGTGATGATTCTAAAAATAAAGTCAAATAATCCTCAATTATCAAAGGAGCTTAATTATGTACCTCAATTTGGAATGAAGGATATGTTTCGAAACAATATTCACAAGAAGAGGGAGTATAAATACAAGACGAAAAATGGGTAGATATTCATTTCTAAGCAACAGCCAGGATGGGGACACATAATGCCAGAATATTTACAGGAATCAATGTGATCCTATGGAAAAATTATCAAACAAAATAAAAATTACTAAATTACATGTAATTTATTACTGTATACCCCACCCTTTCCTAAGCAAAATATTACATGATCTAAAGCTAGAGTTTGCCAACACTACTTATATGTTTAGAGATTAAACTTACTTTATAGACAATATTAGTTCCAATCCAGTCACATGAAGGACTGAAGCAGGGAAATTTAGCTAGTTTTAGTTCGTTTTGTACAGCTCCGTCTTTAAATGACTCCTTGAGAGGGAACATTCCTGCCTGAAGTTTAAGGAAAATCACAGTACGTGTACATGTACCTCAAATAGTAGAATAGGTTAATCCTCTGTAGCCATGGTCTTAGAAACAATTCATCAATTCTCTCTAAACTCTCTCCTTTTGTTTCAGGAAGTGTTAGCAACACAAATAAAAATGAGGCAAAGAGAAACCCTGCCAGTATGTAGAATGTACCAGCCGTCTTTAGTATAGAACCAAGAAGTAATGGGGTTACCATAGCAACCACAAAGTTCGCAATCCAGTTACCAGAGGTAGTGACTGAAACAGCAACACCTGGAGAGAGAGAGAGGGAGGGAGAAAGAGAGGGGGAAGGGAGAGAGAGAGAGAGAAGACGACAAGGAATATGTGCATTAAATCAAATCAGTATCAATATCAGATCAGTATCAGCTAACCTCTAACAGAGAGAGGGAATATTTCACTAGTCACCACCCAAACGACTGGCCTATGAAGATCGAGATAAATACATCATAACCATGTCAGCAGACAATAAGCAGACACAAAGTGAAGAGCAACCCAGTCTCACTAAACTAAACTCAATGTTGCTATGTAAACTATTGTACATGCTTTTGGCAGTAAGCTTTGTTTATACTGCCAATGTAAATGTAAAAAATCACCTGACACCATTAAAAAGAATTGTCCTCCACTATAAAAAATTCTATATGAATCCCTGCACTCTATCTATATAATACATGTACCTATTGATGCTTAAAAGCAACAAATGACATCCCATTCCCATATTTCCATACTAAGTACAGGAATGAGAACACTATCCCTAACTCACCCCCAGGTAGATGCAAAGAAAGACACAAAGAGTACAATCAGGAGAGCCACAAAATATCCAACAACCTGTCTCTCCTC